ACTCATTCAACTCAACACCAAAAAAACAAACAACCCAATTAAAAAATGGGCAGAGGATATGAAGAGGCATTTCTCTAAAGAGGACATACAGATGGCCAATAGGCATATGAAAAAATGTTCAACCTCACTAATAGTTATAGAAATGCAAATAAAAACCACAATGAGATACAACTTCACTCTGGTCAGAATGGCTATCATCAATAAATCAGCAAACAACAAGTGCTGGTGAAGTTGTGGAGAAAAGGGAACCCTGGTGCACTGCTGGTGGGACTGCAGATTGATGTAGCCACTATGGAAAACAGTATGGATGTATCTCACAAAACTGGAAATGGAACTACCTTATGACTCAGCAATTCCACTCTTGGGTACCTATCTATCCAGAGAAACCCAAGACGTTAATTCGAAAAAATATATGCAACCCTATGTTTATCGCAGTGCTATTTACAATAGGCAAGACTTGGAAACAACTGAAATGCCCATTGGTAGATGATTGGATTAAGAAACTGTGGTACATTTATACAATGAAGTATTACTTAAGTATAAAGAAAAATGAAATCTTACTATTTGCTACGATATGGATGGACCTAGAGAACATTATGTTAAGTGAAATAAGTCAGTCGGAGAAAGATAAATACCATATGATCTCACTTATATGTGGAATCTTAAGAGCTGAATGAACGAGCAAAGTAAACAGAAAGTCTCAGAGACATAGAGGAAAAACTGATGGTTGCTAATTGGGAGGGGGGTGGGGATGAGGGAGAAGAGGAAGGGGTTAGACAGCATAAATAGGTAACTACAATATTGCCACAGGGATATGAAAGACAGTTCGGGGAATATAATTAATAATGTTGTAAATATTTTGTAGGGTGTCAGATGGTCACATGTCTTGTTAGGGAGACCACTTCTTGGAGGGGGTAGAGGCTTGATCACTGCACTGTACACCTGAAGCTGATGTTGTATAATATTGTATGTCAACTATAAGTGAATATATATATATATAGTCACGGGATGTGGAGTATAGTGTGGCAGTGGAGTCAATGGAATTGTAATAGATATGTATGATATCAGTGAGGGGTAGTGAGGCGGCGGATTGGGGGATGGAGGTTGTCACTTTGAGGGGTAAAAAGTATAGCTAGTGTACTGTGTTGTAAACCTGAAACTAATTTTAAAAATTTTTAAAAAAAGGAAGCCAGCCTGCATGCAGGGCAGAGCTCAGCCCCTCCCACTCGCCCTATGGACGCGAGCTGCTCTCCAGTTCCCAGCCTCACAAACAGTGGACACAGCTGGCTGCGTTTTCCAGAAGAGTCCAAACTTAGTGTGATTTTATTGTTTTCACAGAAATAATTGCTAAACACATAAAAGTGATAAAAATGTAAAACTTTCAGGACATTCATCTTAATGGTCCCCAAAGTCAGGGAAATAAAAGTCTTTTCCAGAACACACAGATTTTTAGCTTGGGAAAGATGGGCAGCTGCTCTATGCCACATACACCTCGGCCTGATCTCGGGGTAAATGCTGGCTTCCTGGAGCTCTGAGCCTGGGTCTCTTCATCTGTCAAGAGGGAACAAAGGTGGCATATTCCTTTCCTATGCCTGCAGGGGTGGATGGGGCAGTACTCTGAGGCTGAGCACAAAGAATCGTTTCTTTTAACCGATGCAATCAAGGCACCCTCTTTATGGGACCAGTGTCAGAGCTGCGACGTCCTGTGACTAGTGAAGCCCGAGAGAAGGCAGAAGCCCACCTACAGATGGCCAGAGCAGCGGGAGGAGAAGCTGAGCTAAACCTGGAGGACATGGAGGCGGAGTCAAGTGCCAGATGGCGCAGACTGGTGTCTTCCCTAGAGCTTCAAAGAGATGCATTTCGACATAACACAAAGCTGTCCTGTCCTTCACCCAGTGGGGAGCTAATTCCCAGGGAGCTAACTCCCAGATCTTGCTGCCAGGGGCTAGGAGAGGCTGCTGACATGGACAACTTCAGAAGGTTCCAACAGGCATGCAGAGGATTGGCACTGAGCATCTGTGGAGAACTGTAGAGAGCTGAGCAGTGTTCTGACCCGATGGCTCCAGGAGACACAAGGCCCCTGGGGGCCACTAAGGCAGAGTGCCACTGGATGCAGGGGTGGAGCTGCAGGGGCCACTACGGAAGCACTGAGCATGGAACTGGGCAGATCGAGGTTCTGCCTGTGGGACCCTGCCCACCTCTAAGCCCCATGGGCAATCCTTGGAAGGGGTACAAGGACCTGGCCTCACAGATGGTCCTGGTGATGGGGAATGGGGCACACAGGTGAAAGTTCCTGGCACACACAAGTTTTCTGACTACCATATGGGCACAGGAACACAGAAACTCTGGTCTGGCCTCAGGGCCTTTGCACTTGTTCTTCTATCTTCCTGGGGCATCCTTATCTCAGTTCTTCTTGGCCAAGGCGCCTGAGGTGGGATGTGCCCTCCACTCAGGGGCCTTGCCTGGCTCCTCTGAAGTGGCCTCCACCAGTGGCTGTCTTATACCCGATTTCACTTCCTCCACAGCACTTCCCATCCTCTGATCCATCTTGTCTATCTGTGGGCTTCCTGTCACCTCTGTGGGGCAAGTGCCTCACCTGTCCTGATAACTCTGTATTCCAGACCTAGAACTGTGCCCAGCACAGAGGAGGTGCTCAATAGATATATGTTGAAGGAATAAGTGAAAAGAAGCCCAGTCTCGTACTCTGAAAAGGGGCTGGGGCTGGGGCCAGCCGGAAGCGTGTTCATACCCCTGACCCTGACCAGGAGGGCTTCCAGGTCCTCCCTGGTCGGTCAGTCTGGTCTGAGGGTCTTAGGAGTGGAGGGTTGGTGGGCTGCACCCCAAGAGGACCAGATTTGTGGGTTTCACTTTACATCCCCACCATCAGAGTAAGCTCCAGGTGACTTTCTTCTCTCTCCCCACATTTATGTTCGAAACAGCCCATGTCTCCCACACCTGTGGAGAACGCTGCAGCTAGTCACCTCTCCTCACAGCACAAACACACTGTGCACCGACAACAAGCCGCCACCTGCACACCCCCGAATCACAGAAGAATCAAAGAGACTCTTACAAATGCCACGTGCCTTGCAGAGGGGCAGCAAAGTCTCGGATCAGAGAGGCTGTACTTTCACCCGGTACTGCCACTAGCCACAGGGACTGATGACTCTCATCACCTATCCAGGTCGTGGGAATCCCGTATGTAAAGCTGAGACCAAAGCACCCGCCATGCAGAGATGGCTGAGTGGGGAGACCAGGTGGCACAGCACTGAGCCCCCGCCATCATCGAGAAGTGTCCACTCACCACTTGCTTGTTCTGCTGCAGCAGCGGACATGACAGGTCCAGCTGCGGGCTGGCGTAGACAGGCGTTAAGGTGAGCCTGGATGGCGGGGCACACACAAACTTCACCACGGCCGGCTCCAGAGCAGGGAAAGGGTTGGTGATGCTGGGCTTGTTCCCCACAGAGAGGGCAATGACCTGGCGGGCAGAAGGAGCAGTCAGACACCCCAAGTTTGAGGCCCTGCTGCACTGTGAGCCTCGTCTCACCATCCAGCTCCTTGGGACTCCCTGTGCTTTCCTGCAGAATGGGAATGATGATGATATCTACATCCCAGGGGGGTTACAAGGTCCAGTGACATACGCATGGGAGAGCACTCTTAACATGCAGGAGACCTTCTGATGGAAGCCCCTAGTGCCCTCTGCAAAAGTCAGCCAGAACCACTGCCTCTCCGTGGCCCAGGGAAGAGGTGGGTCGGTGGTGCCATGTGGCTTCCCTGCACCCTAGGAAAACCCTACGGGTGCATAAGCAAATTCACAAGTTGGTGGGTTTTTAAATGAGGAATCCATACTGACTTGAAAACACCCCTCACAGTGAGGTGTGGGTGAGAGAGGGTGTGCTAGTGGACCGAGACCTGTGGGGTGGGCCGGAAAAGGGCTTACAGAGGATGAGGGGTTGTGGCCCATCTTTGGGGGCAGCCCTGGCCCCCTCAATGACACATACTCTGTGGGAAAAAATGGTCCGGCCTCGAAGCCCCTCACCCTTCCTGACCACAAGGCAGGACAAGGGCAGTTCCCACGCTGACCTGAAGGTGACACCCTAAAAAAGTAAGACACAGAGCCCTGCAGTGGGAGGGGCCCTAGAGGCTCCAGTTCTGACAGAATGGGGGAACACAGGTGACCAGGCCAAGCCAGGGATAAGAAACTGCTCTGACTTAACTCTGAAGTTTTTCTTAGGATGGCATTATTTATTATTATGTATTGATTTTTCTCATTCTTTGTTTTTTTTTAAACAAACAAAGCCAGTAGGAAGTGGCCTCTCACTGTGTCTTTCTGCTCACAGCCACTAGTATCAGTATGGCCGTCTCACAAGGGCACCTTGGGTGGTGTGCATGTATGTGTTTTAACATCAGCTGATGTCCTTTGCACTATTAAACATGCAAGGATATTCCCCCCACCCCACCCCCAATGGGCGCTCTCCTGTTTTTCTTGATTCACGCTGGCCTCCCAAACTTGCTTTTGGTCTCCCAGCTTTGGGGCACCTGAGAACAGAGAGCGGCACAGCCCTGCTGTGAGCAAAATGAGTGCAGGGCCCTCAGCCTGGGGCCTGAACTGCAAGCTGCCCCTTGATCCAGCTGACTCCAGCCCCGAGGCAGTTCAGGTCAGGCATGTTCTGCTCAATCCACCCAGTCTCCTTATTTTTTAATTTTCAGCATTGAAAAAACAAATATAAAAAATTGAGAGATTTCAAACAAAAAAAATAGTGGAATTCTCAGCTTATCCTGAAACACCAAACAGATCTGACAAACCTGGGCCTGTGGTCTCAGTCACTCCTAATGTGCCTGCCTGCCTGCCCCTGAAGGGACTTGACTTTGTGAGCTCTGATCTCATCGCACCCCGAGTGGATGGTGGGGAACACTGAAGCCTGGAGAGAAGAGGTCACCCGGTAGTTGAAAGGGAGCCAGGACTGAGTAGCTCTGTCAGAGCTGGTGTGTATTGGGGGTCCCAAGTGCCACACTCCACTTGACCTGCTTGCATTCGCTAAGTGACTCTACCTCGCTGATCCTCGGTTTACCTGCTGATCAAATGGGAATAGCAGCAGCAGCTAGCTCTTAGGGTTACTTGGAAGATTAAATAAACTGATCCTGTGAGTATAGCAGGGCACTCAGGGCATGTGACTTCCTACCCTTCCTCTGGGCAAGGTGGGTCTGGGGGTGGGCGCCCTCTTACCTGTTCACCTAAGGCCTGGCAGGTCACAAGGATCCAGTGTTGCTCATAATTCCGGGAGGCAGGAGGGCCAAAGAGAGCAAGACTGATGCTATGCATGTCCTCGGAGGTGACGTTTCGGAAGAACTTGGATGGCTCGAGGACCCAGGGTCTGGGACCTCCTTCAAATAGCATCTCCTTTGATGAGCCAAGGGTCACCAAGGCGACAGAAGAGGGGTCCACGGCCTGTGGGAGAAAGAGGGAGAAGGGTCGCCTTTCCTCTGGGCCTTCCTCCATGCTGGAGGCCCAACCCTGGGCTGCAGAAGTCACAAGAGCCTCCGATGCTCCTCTGGGAACTCAGGGTGCTCATCTCCCACGCTCCCAAGGGTGCTGGCACAAGAGCGCTCTGCAAAGAATTCCGTCCACCCCCGATATGCTGCTGGGGCACAGGGGAATAAATTGACCTGCCTCTTTTGTAAAACAATCCAGTAAAATCCTTGAAAGTACCCACAGCCCCTGGAACTAGAGCTCCACATCTGGACAGAGCAGGATGGAGAGAAACAAGTTGATGCACAAAGATAATGGCTGGAGATGAAACTGACTGTAGAGTTTATCACAACCACATTGTTTTGAAAGGCATAAAACAATCCTAAAAAGAAATACACCAGATAACCAAGGGAAACAGAATGTGTGTCCTTGATGGCAGTATTATTAGTGGTTTGTGTCCCTTACTCTCTACTCCACTGCATTTCCCCCCCTTTCTATAATGTATATATAAACTTAGGGGACAAGCCTTTCTACCCGTTTTGTTCCCAGCACCTAGAACAGTGCCTGGCACATAGGAGGTGCTCAATCATTATTTGTTGAATGAAAGAGCGAATATTAAGTCCTGAAATTAAGTCCCAATAAACAAAGAATGAATTACAATAATTTTTTTTTTTTTTTACAAAAAGCTTTCATTTGTTCTCCCGATGTAGGGTGACTGTTGTGCTGAGGGTCACAGGGTGGGAGTTCCCATGTAGACAATGGTGGTGCTTAGGGTCCCACAGCAGGGGGAGGGACACACCTGAAGGAGGACGTGGTTTGTTCCTTTCGAGGACACCCCCAGACACAGCCAAGGTAAAATGAAGAAGGGAGTCCCTCTGAGGGGCTCTGCAGCCCTGCTCCCTGACTCCCTGCCCAGCTTGACTGATCTCCCTCTCCAGAGGGTCCCACTGAGGTCACCACCATGTCCTTACTTGTCAACCTGCTTCCCTGTTAGTCCCTCCACTCAACCCTCCAGGAGCTGCCAGATGTCCTGTCCTTTTGTTTTTTGTTTTTGTTTTTTAATTTTATTGGGGAACAGCCGTAGTCATTGGTTACACATTGCTTTCATGCTACAATGGCATAGTTGACTCTTTTAAGGAGGACGCAGCTCACAGTGACCCAAGCGGGGATCGAACCAGTAACCTTGGTGTTATCAGCAAGACACTCTAACCAACTGAGCTAACCCGTCACCCCCAGATGTGCCTTCCTAAAACACAGGTCTGACCATCTGCCCTCTGCCTAAATGGTTCTGGGGCACCAGCTGCACTGGGAAGGAAGGCTCAATTACCACTCTGCCCTGGGATAGGGCTCTACCAGCCTGCCCGTTGCCCCCATCTCCCTGCTCCCACCTTCAGACTAGCCTGAGCCCTGGCTGCTGTGGCCCCTACCTACCCCTCCCTTCAGAAGGCCATGCTTCCTCCCTCACCAAGCCACGCTCACCCTGCCAGGGCAACAACTCATTGTCTGGTTCCTGCTTTGAGTGTTGCTCATACTATGAGGAAATGATCTGTGGGTGTCTGTCTCCCAATCAGGCAGTGGGCTCATTAAGGGTAGGGAGGGCATGTCTGTTTCCTTCTGTATCCACAGCACGATCTCAGCCATGTGAGACATGAAACACAGTATAGAAAAAAGTAAAATATTAAAAAGAAAAAAAGACCTACACTGCGATGTTATTCCCCAGCCATTTGATTAGCACAAAACCAAAAGTTCGAATGCTCTGGCACACACACTGCTGTGAATCTGGTGCATCTCTAGAGAAACATGTGCTTTTTAAAAAAATTACTTAATTACTCCTGGCCGAACACGCGTGCCTCCTTGCAGTGTGCATTACCCACTGGGTCTGGGTCTACGCTGCCCCGCTCATCACTGCCTCTGGCTTCACTAAGCCCCCTCCATGCTCTCACCCCCACGGGGCCTGCCAACAGCCTGAAGTCTTTGCGGGTACAGGCTGATGACCCCTCGGCTGTCACCTGCAGTCCTGGACCCGGAGCAGAGCCCCAACCAGATGCCACCTCAGAGTGGAGAGAGGCTGTCACTGAGTGACAGCTTTCAGATGCACACATCCTGATGGACAGGGTGGGCTGGAAGCTAAGGTGATGAGACATTGAGGCTCGGGTTCTCTCGGTTGGGTGCTTACACCAAATCCTTAGCCAAAAAGGACATGACTTCTCAATGAGAATTCTGTCCTTTTGACTTTTATTTTTTGCAATATGAACATTTTCTGAATTTGCTATCAGTAATGAATCCTCCAGGACTCCTCCCTGCACACGTGCACAGGTATGTACACACACATACGGTTCCAAGGAGCTGGGGATCCCTCCACTGATGTCCACCCCCAGACTCTACCTGGCTACACACCTAGGTTTTGAAACTATTAGAAGGGCCCTTTTTCCTGCATGTGAATTGCTATGGATGCTAGGGCCTTTGGCTTTTCCTGCCTGGATGTCTCCTCAAGCTCCTGTGCTCCACTCAGGACACCCTTCCTCAGAGAGGCCTTTTTTGACCCCGTCCAGAGCAAGACCTCCTATCACTCGTTCCCTCCTTTCCCCGCTCAGTTGTCCTGACCACTACTTGCCGTTCCTTTTCATACATGTTCATCCATCCATTTGCTTTGCTGTCCCTACAACTAGCATGATACTGCCACTTGTTAACTGTGTGATCTTAAGCGGGTTAGCCTCACAAGGCTCAGTCTCCCATCCTGTAAAATGGGCATAAAGAGAACTGCTTCTCGGGGCTCCTACAGATTCAAGGCAGTGAGAATGAAAGCCCTGAACACGTGCCCAGCACAGGCTTAATAAACGGCCCCTGCTATTATCAACTGTCATTATTAGTAATGATCACCCCAGTTTACAGATGAAAAGCCTGAGTTCCAGCCAAGCAAAGCAATTTACCCAACTTTACCCAGCTGGTGGGCCCACGTGTGTTCCAATGCCAGATATCCAGTCCTTGCCACCTTTCAATGCCACGACCAGCAAAATTCCACTGTGGGTAAAGCAGGTCACTGGAAATGTCACCAAGGGTGTTTTTTCATGACCAGTCCAAAGGGAGAGGCTGTGCCAAGGCACCACATGTCCTATGATTGACAGCTAGGAACCAGGAATTATCACCTTCAAATTCAATGCCTTCTCATTCAGGCATAAAAGTGTCACGGAATCCTGTGCCAGGGAGACAGGTTAATAATCAACACCACTAGTGACGGACCCATAAGTTATCCAAGCGCCTCAGTGGACATCAAAGTACGGATATCCAAATAGGCAAAGCCAGAAAATAGGGCGCCCATGGACCTGGGTAAGACCTCAAAGCCAGAAAGGAGGGCACCCATGCACCTGGGCGAGATCTCAAAGCCAGAAAGGAAGGTGCCCATTCACCTGGGCGAGACCTTGCTACCCCATTTCCTGATTTCCAAAACAGGAAGATGGGTCTGATCATCCATCCAGAGGCCCTTATTGCGGGTGGCCTACGTTCCAGGAGATGGAATGCAGGCACCTCTGCACAGGGATACTCACACTCAGCCTAGGATAAAGACTGAGGCAAGGGCCAGGGCAGTGGGAGCTAAATCCCCAGCACACCTGGCTGGCCCAGAGGTTCCAGGTCAGTGCATTCAGTATACACTGACAGAACCAAGAAGCCAGGTGGGGTCCCCAGACCCAGGCATTCAGGGGCTTCCAGAGAGTAAGGTGGGATAAGGCACTTTAATTCCTGCAGCAGAAGGGACAGGAAGGGTAACTGGGGTACTGATTGTGGAGGGAATTAGGTCACTGGCGAGAATGTGCCCCCCATGGCCCAAGCAGATAGACAAGGTGACACGTAAGTTGGGAGGAGGCAGAGCCAAGCACTCCCTGAAAGATCTGGAGAGAGTCTTTTCTTCTGCGGACGGGCAAGTCCTTACACTGTGCTTCCAGTACACGCCCATTCACCTGCCCCATCAGCAGCAGTGGTCCTCTGTGTGGACCTGACTTGCTCATTCCCTGACCTTCACCAGCTGCCCACTGCTAGATGCAAATATCCAGCTCCTAAGTGGATTTCAGAAACCTCCTTGTTCTGACCCAACACAGCCTCATATCTCACCCCAAGTTATATCACTACTTCTAGTGTCCCCACCAGCCGTGCTTCCTGCCTCTATGCCCTCCTTCTATTTCTGTGTTCATCGGTGACCTGTCCCCCTGGGGACACTTCATTGTCTCTACTTTATCCGAGTGTCTGCCTTCCCCATAGACAGACAGCCTCCCAAGGCACAGAGTGTGAGATCTCTTCCCAGATCTCTATTCCCCCAGTTCGGGCCTGTAACAACCAAGTTCCCAGGGACTGTCTGCAAAGTAAACAGATAGATGGACCAGCAAACACAGGTTGTAGCAATAACTGTTTGCTTCCTTCCCAGTTTTGACACGCCTCTCTTCCTTAGAGAAAGAACCCCAATTTTATTAGGATGGTAAATAGCTCAGCTAAAATAACTCCCAGCCTCTGTTGCAGTTAGGTGTGAGCAACAGATTAAGTTCTAGCCAGTAAGATACAGGTGGAAACTGCTGTTTTAAACTTCTCACAAGGCTACTACTACAGGAGACTAACTCAGCTGAGAGGCGAGCTCTTTCCCTTTCTGGCTATGTGGAATGCAGATGTAATGGCTGGAGCGCCAGTAGCTATTTTAGACCATGAGGCAACCTTGAAGATGAAGGCCACATACTAGGATGAAGTTGAAAGACAGAAATCTGGGTCCCTGATGTCTTTGAAGATGCCACACTGCCCTGTGTGAGATCTCTTGTGTGAAAGAGAAATGAACTCTCTATTAGTTAAGCCGCTATTATTTGGGTTTTGTTACCTGATCTTAAGTGATATAAAAGCAGAAGAAAGATAAAAGAAGAGAACCATATTCTTCTTCCATAATTTGCCCAGTCAGGAAGCCACCTTGATTGGGACATGCCCACCTTATCTTTACCGTTAATCCCACTTTGGGAGAGTGAACTCAGTCGTTGGCTTCTGACGCTCCAGCCAAACACCCAGATAATCAGACCAGTCATCTGGAGCAAGCACCCAGGAAGGCCCCTGACAAACCTCCCCCTGAGGGTCCTAGTGAAACGCCCCACCTCACGGGAAGCTGTGGCAGGGCTTCCTCGAGAATGACAGCTGCCATCTTAGGGATTTCAATTCTCTGGGACTCTGCTTTCTGAGTCCTCTTGCCTCACCCAGTGAGGGGGCTTCACCTTCTAATTTTAAACTGCCACCCTCCCTTCCTCTGTGCTCCCTATCACTCTTTCACACTTGACTTCTTCCATGGCATGCGTATACAAAACACGTCACTTATTTGGTTTATTTACTGTCTGTCTCTACCTGTCTGCTACAATGTCAATTCATGAGGACAAGAATGTCTGTGCAATTTCTGTATTGCTGTATCCCTCAGGTTTAGAGCAGGACTGGCACACAGTAGGTACTCATATGTTTGTTAAAGAAATGGATGGGCAGAGCAGGAGGAGCAGGGCGGGGCTACTGAATCCCTAATAAGTATCTACCAGCACCTGCTATTTTAGGTCTGGGAGTCAGGAACTTGGTTCTGTCCTAGTTGGTTAACTCTGAACACATTTCTCCCACTTGTTCATTTTAGATAAAACAACCTTCTCAAAAAATTAAATTAGAAATACCATGTAATCCATCAGTTCTACTTCTGGATATGAAAGAAAATGAAGGAAACAAAAGCACTAACTTGGAAAGATTTCTACACCAACCTAAGTGTCTACTGATGAATGACTATTACTCAGCCATAAAAAAGGAGGAAATCCTGCTATTTGCGACAACATGGATGGACCTCAAAGTCATTATGCTGAGTGAAATAAGTTATAGAAAGACAAATAGTGTATGATCTTACTTACACGTGGAATCTAAACAAACAAACAACTCAGACACAGAGCACAGACTGGTGGGTGCAAGGGAGGAGAGTGGAGGTGGGAGAAATGGGTGAAGGGGGTCCAAAGGTACAAACTGCAGTTATAAAATAATTAAGTTATAAAATATAAAAAAACAGCTTGGTGATGACAGTAAACAACATTGTATTGTATATTTGAAAGTGGCTACGAGAATAAATCTTAAAAGTCCTCATCACAAGAAAAAAATTTGTAATAATGTGTGGTGATAGAAGGGAACTAGGCTTCCTGTCGTGATCATTTCTCAGTATATACAAACACTGAATTATCACGCTGTACACCTGAAACTAATATAATGTTATATGTCAATTACACCTCAATAAAAAATTTTTTAAAAAACCCTTGGTTATTGTCTGCTTTATATCAGGCACTATGCCCAGGACCAGTGGCTCTGAGATGAAAGATTCTAACATTACTGAGCTTGCTTCTAACGGCTGAGGGTCACAAACCAAGGGGACCAGAGCTGTCTTAGAGGTTGATGCTGGGTGTCAAGGAAGCACCAGCGCTGATGGGCCCAGCCTGGGAGGCTGGGGGAGAGGCTCCCGGAGGCCAGCCCGTCACCCCTCCTCTAAGGGAGAGGCCAGTTTACCCTGAGCCTCTTGTGTGAGAGGCAACTTCAAACAATGTAAGAAGTAATTATGTTCACCATCCTGCTGCTTAGTAGCTATTGTGAAAACTTCACACCCGCCCTTGGAGGAAAGTCCAGCTCTTTTTCCTCTGTATTTTAATAGCTTACCCTTACTGAGTACTCACCACCTCCCAGGCACTGTTCTAAGCCCATTTCCTTCATTCGCTCAGCTGATTATCATCATACTCTGTGAGGCTGTTGCTGTATTAGCCCCATTTTACAGGCAGGGAAACTTAAGCCCAGAGAAATGAAATCAGCCAAGGTCACAGAGCTGGTGTCAGACCTAGATTCAAGGAGGTGGTGTCAAGGCTGAGGCAGTGAGCTCTAACCTCCAGGGCCGGAACTGCTTCCCGCCACAGAGGAGCAGAGGGAGGCCTGGACACTCGACAGTCACCTGACATCAGGCAAGGGGAGAATGCAAACCTGACTCAGGTCCCTGAGGCCCCAGGATCTGCACCCCATGCCAGGGCTGATGTCCCCTTCTAGGGTTCTTTGGGGGCTCTGCAGGGTAGCTCTGGAGTTCACCCACCCTGGTCCCTGTGGAAGACATCTCATCCGCACGGACGTAGGGAGTCACCGTGTGCCTTCAGAGAGGCTCTGCTCCTCATACTTCCCGACAGTAGCTAGAAAATCTCAGGAGGAGGTCGCTATGAGCAATCCGGGTTTTAACACAAAGTTGCCAGAACAAATGAACAATTCGCATCAGGGAAGCAGCTGGGGGCAAAGGCCCACACTCACCTTAAGGGGCAGGTAGGCAGCAATGGTGATGCGGGCACTCAGGTGAACGTGGCCATGCCTGTAGCTCACGAGCAGCGCGGTGTAGCCCTGGGCCTCAGCTCGCACCCTGACGCCACTGCAGTGCTCAGAGCCTGGCCGGAGCCTCCCTGCAAGAGGAGAGACAAGTGTTCACCATGGACTTGCCTTGCTGGAAAGACACGGCAGGCTGGCAGGCTCTCTGGGCTTGGTACACAGCCTAACTTAACATTTTTAAGGATGATTCCCACAACAGAAAGTACACTTGCTGTAAGCATACAGTTCACAATGATTTTTCGCCCCATAAACTTAGTACACCCTGTATCCAGGACTGGGGTCGAGAAACAGTGCCCTGGAGCCCCCACAGGCCCTTCCGGTCACTAGCTCATCCCCAGAGAAACACGTTAGCTGCCTGCCGACTGCACAGCACAATTTTACTGGCTTCTCTGTTTTATATAAAGGGAATCGCTGAGCACAAACTCCCTTGTCTGCCTTCTTCAGCTCAGTGGTGGTGGTGAGATCCCGCCTTATTTTTTGCAAGTTGTAGATCTTTTACCCACATTTGTTTATATTATTCTGTTGTATGAAAAAAAACTGCAACCCATTTCTTTCTGCTACTGGGAGGATCTGGGATTTTGCTCTATTTCTCTTTTTGCATTATCTATCCATTCCCTACCCATGAATCTTATTTTTTTATGCATTTAAAAGTAAGTTGCAGGCCTCAGCACGCTTCATTCTAAATATTTTAGCAAACACATAATTAGTTACAGTTCAATATTTCTTTATGGTTCTTGTTTTCTTAAAGTCAAATTTACACACAGGGAAATGCACAGATCTTAAGTGGACCACAAGTTGTGACAAACGCAACTGCCTGTGAACCCCCAGCCTCACCTCAATGCAGACCATGACCCCTCACCCCCACCCCGTCACAGGTCCCTCATGGATTTTCCCGGGCGATCCCCAGCCACCCCTCCCCTGGAGGCCGTCACTATATCATTCCAATTATTTCCACCATAGTTTAGTGTTTCAAAAAATTAAATAGTTTTACTGAAGTATAACTCACATACTACAGAATTGCCCATTTGAAGTACAAACATAATTCAGTGGCTCTTAACATGCGAAGTTGTGCAACTATCACCACTAATTTTAGAACATTTCATCCCTAGAAGGAAAACCCATACCCAGGACCAGTCGCTCCCTGGTCCCTGGCAGCCACTGCTCTGCCTCCGGTCTCTGCATGGACCAGCTCTGCCACACACTACCCATCAGTGAGCTGTGCTCGGGGTCTAGCTCAGCTCATGCAGCATGTCTCTGAAATTCAGCCATGCTGCTGCGTGATCAGTGGCTGCTTCCTCTGGACTGCTGAGAAGTACTTCACTGCAAGGGTGTCCATGGTTTGCTTACCCGTTCAGCAGCTGACAGGCATTTGGGTTTCCAGTTTGGGGTAATTGGGAACAGAGCTGCTGTGGACACTCATGAACAATCTTCTCCACACTCTGAGGACACATTCTGCTTTTGCTCTCACTTAGGACACATTTCAGTGCATGCTGTTTTCCAATGGCCAGCACCATGGCCCTGGGCAGAAGTCCCTACGTCACCAGGAAGGGGGGCCACATAGTCCACAGGTAGAGCCCAGGAGCACCTGAAAACTGCAACTCTGCCAAATGGGCCTATTTGTGTCCATAGTTACACAGACAAAAAGGACATGGAAATGACGGGTTTGAGTGTGGACCCTGTCTTCCAGTCAAGTACAGAGAGTCTAGGCAAATGCTATCTGGACGTGAGCCTGAATGCTGAGAAGGGAGCCAGGCCCTTTGTATAGCCGAGAAGGGCTCAAGAATGGAGCCCCAGGGGGCACACTCTGGCTCTGACGGCACTGCAGGGAAGCTTCCTAATGATGCCATTCCCCCAACCCCACGCCCCAAGCTGCCTGGCGTGCAGATGTTCAGTGTTCAGTGCTCCCTGCGTACCGCCATTGGGCCCCTGCCCTGGGGAGGGGAGGCCTACCTGCTCCCACCGGAAGTATGCCACATCCTTTCTCAGGCTCCCCACACACTCTTCACACTCTGCTCCTCAGAACACTCTCCCCTCATACCCTGCCAGTCTCCTCCTTCAGGCCTCAGCTGTCACCTCCTCTAACAGCCTACCCAGATACCCCCATGTTGGCTGCGACGCCTGTCTTCTGCAGTTTTCTGGGGAAAATGTTTGGGCATTTCTGGGGGAACATGTGGGTACATGCCCAGGAGTGGGACAGAACTCAGGGGACCTGTGCTTCGCCACCGGTGCCCTCTGTCTCAGGCACCATAACTACCTGTTGAGCCATCTGTCTCTTTAGATAGCAATGGCCGTGAAGGTGAGACCATGTCTCTCATATTTACCAGGGGAGCCCCAGAGCACAGCACGTAGTAGGTGCTCAGTGAACAGGGAGCTGAAAACCAGCTGAGGCTCAGAGCCGAGACAGGGCCAGGGAAGAGCACCAGCTGAGTTGCTGCCACCCCCAGGGGCTGAGCCTGGCCAAATCGGATACTGGAACACCATGGAGAGGTTCATGGTAATTCCTGAAGCCAAGGGCCTTTTAGGGGTCTTCAACGCTGGAGACAAGGCAGAATGGCATCCCAGCGGCCAAGTCCGGCAGGAAGAGGGTGAAGCCCCCAAGTGACCCAGATGGTGCTGGCCACCTGCGGTCTGGGGTTGCAGCTGTCGAGGGAACCTGCTACAGCCCATTTCCAAGAACCATGGCCTGGGTCCCATCATGTGTGCTCTTAACTTGGGCAAGATCAAGGACATGCACTTGAGAGAGCGAGACGGCGAGCGAGCAAGAGAGAGCAAGAGAGCGAGCGAGCGAGAGAGCAAGAGAGAAAGCTGTTAGCCTGATGTGGGGGTCACCCCTGTCCCCATCTGTTTGTTCCATGAGCCTCCTGTGCTCCAGGGCAGGTGTCACTCAGTGCTAAACCCCTCTGGTCTCGAGTCCCATGGATTTCCACACCAGTATCTCTGCTCTGAGAAGGCGCCAGGTTGTAAGGCACATATCTCTCATATAACCTAAGCCCTATCACAAGCCTTCACACAGACATGTACACTCCACATTGGGGGACACTTAAGGAGGTTTCTAAGGGAAATTCTGACACCACATGATTTCTACCTCAGCTATTGTCTTCAGAACAAAACTGCTTGAAAATGTCCCACACTGGGCTGAAGGACATGCATTTGTAACCCTCACAGCAGCAAGGGGTTGGTATCCCCATTTTATACATGGAGACTCCAAGGCTCACAGAAGTTGGGCAACTGGCCTGATGTCATGTGGAAGTGGTGCTCAGACCCGGACCCGTGGAATCCCAAACCCTGCCCATTATTCCTGGGACCTCCTGGGCTGCAGCCTGCAGATCCCCTCCAGGACACACGTGGGGGACGTACTAATGGAGCTGGTTCCTCTCCTGCTGTCAGTGGGCCTCTCTCTCCCGAGTGCTAACATTTTTCTCCATCCTAAGTGGCTGCCCACTGAGGACATTTAAGGTTTCATGAAGCTCCCTTTCTCCTAGGTGGTCAGAGAGGACAGAGCAGCGCCCTCCAGAGGAGGACAAAGATGTGGTGATGTCTCAGACATGCGGCCTCCTTCCTCTGTGCAGCTTCACGTTCAAACAGCAACATGAGTAACCACAACTACAGAGCAGCAGAAAGCCGCCTGGTACCACAGGCAATTCTACAAACGCCTCTGTCTATTAGGCTGCTAAACTCTGCCAAGATCAAGTTGTCGCCCGTCTGCTCAAGAACTGTTGGTGGCTCCCCACTGCCTGGACACCGAGGTCCAAGCCCTCCATGATTTATGATTCAACAGGGTCAGCCACGCCAGGCCCACTGTGCGTGCCCACGTCCCCGGACCTGCCCACCTCCAGGTCTCGGCTCAGGAGCCCACCCACCGAACGATGGTCCCTATTTCTTGGTTCCTTCCAACCCCTGCGCAAACCTTACTCCTCCCTCAGTGGCTCAGCAGTCCTTGGTTTTCTTCATCTGCAAACCAGAGAAGAACCTCCTACTGCCCCTGAGCCGACTCCCCTGAGAGGCCCCATATCTCGGAGGACTAGGGCTCCCGGTCAGTGTCAGACACATACCAATCTACGTCATCCCATCCCGTGCCCTTCTGTGACCTTGGATAGTCTCAGTCTCTTCATCTGACACATGGCCCTACCACAGCTCCTCCTCCCATGGTGGTTCTGAAGTCCAAGGAGGCCATGCTGCTCTGCGCCCAGCAGGGTTGATGCTCCTTACACTACTGCCACTGCCACCATCACCACCAATATCACCAAAATCCTGCAGGAGATGCTAGAAAGATCAACATGCACGGTCTTGATGGCTCTGGGGGGTGGACCTTACACGTCACAAAGGTGATGCGGTTCGGTCACTAACCCAAACCCCTATCACAGTGCACCTACTGAGCACCTACTGACTCCAGGCATTGCAATGGGCACTGTGAAATGCAGTTCTATTTGGGATGACACCCATTTTAGAGACATGGAAACTGAGGCTCAGAAAGAACAGTGACAGTGACACCAAGGGTCACACAGTAGGTAAGGTCCACACCAGACGGTTGCTAAAGGTTGACAAAGGGACAAATGCCATTTCTCATGCTTGTGACCCCCTGCTGCCTCCAGCCCTCTGTGGAAGATTCTAGGCTGGCCCACATTGAGAACCCATGGGCGTGCCCCAACCCCACTGCCCACTTGTCAGGGCTGGTTACCTGGCAGCGGCTGGAATACACCCTGGTTCTCTACCTCAACCACCAAGTCGAAATGGGAGCAGTCGCTCAGGGTGACAACCTCGTTGGCCCCGCTGGGCATGAGGCCGGTGATCCTTAGGGGCAGCTCCAGGGTCTGGCCCACTCGTGCCTCCACCTGGCACGGGGCGAACTCCATGCCACTGGGCTCGATCACATACACCTAGAGGACAAGATGTGGACTAGGGTCATCAGGTTCTGCAGAGGACGAAGGGACACTGCTCGGATTTACTAACAGCTGCTGTGTGCTGGGCACTAAATATATGTCGGTGAGAAGTCAGAGCTGGGGGGACATGTGGGTACATGGCAGGGACAGGGGTGATATTCAGGGATAGAGATGTCAAGAGAGGCCCCTCTGAGAGTGTGATATAAGAGCTCAGACCTAAGAGCCAAAAGTCTCGGGAGAAGCATTCTGGGAAGAAGAGACAGTCCATGCAAAGGTCCTGAGGCACGTGCCAGCTAAGCACATTGGAGGAATATTAAGAAGGCAGTGCACAGGGGCCGGGGGGGGGGAGCAGTAAATAATCACAGAAAACAAGACTTACCAGACTCCAGGTTCTGTTCTAAGAACATCGCTAACTCATTTAATCCCCTCTCCCTGTTAAGAAGGTTCTATTACCAACCAAGTGACGTGAAGAAACTGGCATGGGAGGACCCTGCCCGAGCTAGAGCATGGTGAAGTCTGGCCCAGGCAGTCCAGCTCTGGAAGCCAAGCTCTAACCATTACACAGACTGCCTACTGGGGAATTGTCCTCTGGCTTTTGGCTCAGCCACTGGGTGAAAGGTAGCACATTTACTGCATTTACTGAGATAAGCAGCTTGGGAGACAAGGAAGGAGCAATGTGGTTATAGTATATCCAGATATTTGACAATCATGCTGTAGCTAAAGGGGTTTCTGTTACGACCCTCTTCACATGGGACTTAGAGCAATCTTTGGATAGGGGTGTGTGTGTGTGTGTGTGTGTGTGTGTGTGTGTGTGTGTGAGAGAGAGAGAGCGAGAGAGACAATAAAGACTAAAATAACCTATTGTCAGTATCCCAAATCATGTGAGAAGGTCAGGATTGGACACACCATGTATGGGCCTTTGATTTCTCCCCTAAATGAAATCATAGAAGGGGCTGAGGTGAGGGTCAGGTAGTAAGAAGGAGGTAGGTCAGGAGGCCACCAGGTGGCGCTGGCCAAGGTTCAGCTGCAGGCAACCATCCCACCTGCGGCCTTTTCTAGGTGAGTTGGTCCCACATTACTCAGATTCAAAAGGCCGGAGTAAAACCCTGGTGCAAGGACTCCTGACTTTGTGTGTGAACATAAGTCAGAGGAAAGGAGTCAGGACCCGGTCTCTTGGAGCTGGGGCCTTCCTTTCACTGTGAATTTACAACCCAACATTCAGTGACACTTCTAATTTGCAGAGTCCTATCTTCTAGGTCTGGGGGATTTTCTAGAATGACTCCTTTGATTATCTCATGTCTTCTGTGTTCTCTGGTCTCCCTCCCAGAAACTCTAGTTATGATGACCTTGGCCCTTTTGGTCCCATCCTCAGCCTGGTGTGCAACATCATTTCCATCTCCAAGATATGGCTGTGAGCTCCTCAAGAGCATCACCTTGCCCACTGCCAATGCCAAATACAAGACCAAGGGCTAAAGGGTGTTTCTGAATTAAGGGGCATCTAGAGACCACCATCCCAAGCCTCTTTCCTGGGCTGTCCTGGCCCCTGAGTTCTCACCTTCATCTCCCCGAAATGTAGTGGATTCTGAACATCATGTGCCTGGATTACACTGAGTCCTATGTCACTGCCTGTCGTCATCACACCCTTGACAGTGACCGTGGCGACACTGAGACTTGATGAAGACCAACTGAAGTTCCCACTCCCGCCATGGGCCTGGGGGAAAAAAATCATCATCTAATCAGCTCACCTGCGTGGCCTCTGTTTCACACACACATTCCCTCACATACCTCACCCTCTCTCACACACACTCACACGCCCTTGTAGTCTCACATACACTCACACTCATTCTTTCTCACACATACAAGGTCAGCATCCCCCCAGTGCCTGGAAAACATGGCATCAAGCCACAGCCTGACTGGAGGCTGGCTCTGCCCCTTGCTCTCTCTACCATGCCTCATTTCTAGTCCTCACGTTCTGGGGACCCTGTGGCTGACATACACATACAAAGACGCCCAGACAGTGGCCTCAGAACCCAGGGACACCTCCAAGAACTCAGGCTGGAATGAGAAGACCCAAGGCCATGGAGCCAGGTGCAGGATGCTGCCTCCCTGGCCAGACACAGAACCCCTCATGGCACACGCCCCTGACCAGACAAGGCACCCCTCACGGCACACGCCCCTGACCAGACATGGCACCCCTCACGGCACACGCCCCTGACCAGACATGGCACCCCTCACAGCACACGCCCCTGACCAGACATGGCACCCCTCATGGCACACACCCCTGCCTCCTCCGAGCCATCTGCCATGAAGTAAACAACAGTTCAGCGGCTTCTCAAAACAAGGGCCACCACCCCAAAGCCCAAGAGGCACCAGGAAGGTGACACCCCTGAGTGATTGAGCAGTGAGTACCAGAACCCTGTTGTCACTGTCAGGGAGACAGCAGGGACTGATTGGGACTGTGTTGACCACATGGCTTGGGCCCCGAAGGAGTCAGTCTGTGCCAGCTAATGTCAGGTGGGCACGTACATATAAAAACGAAGAACACAAGTTGTATGACAGGGCTGGAGACATTTTCCCTTGAATTTCAAAATTTTCTCTAAGGGTATTTACACTGCTTTGGGAAAACAATAATTTTTTACAAAAAAAAATGCATGTGGAAGTTAAATCTGTGTTCCAGGTTTTCATTATTTTGCTTTATTTTCTGTTTTTCAGGGGTTTTTTCTGATCAAAATACAATGCTGTGATAGAAACCTCAGAAAATACAGAAAGCAGAAAGACTCTCTGATTTTAAATGGTCTCTAACTCCACAGAAGAAAATAATAGAAGGAAAAAAATTAATGAAAGTCCCAGTCCCATGGAAACACCCACAGGAGTACACCCAGACATGGGGCCTCCCAGGTCCTTACCTTTATCATGTACTGATAGGCGCCCGTCTTTGGTTGCCATGGAAATGTCAAGATGCTGGGATAGAGGGTGATGGGGATATGAATTTCCACCTCCTGCTGGTTCCACACAGGTACCCGCAATGCGTGGACCCCTCCGTCCTACAAGGGGGTAAGGGTGCCCCACATCACCATGACAACCAGGTCATCAACACAGTTTTCCCAGCACATCCCTGCCCCTCCCTGGGGTTTGGGCCACAAAGGTAGATTTTGTGATTGTGGGTGAGTGGGAAGTAAGATGCCAGAGGCACAGCAGCCTCTGTCTCCATAGAGATGGTTTTCCATGGCTCTCTAATAGCCACTCGAGTAAACACTGCTGGACTCTATCCTCATTGACCTCCTGACAGGATGGACGTGGTTATCCCCTCTTTACAGATGGGGAAACTGAGGCATGGAGTGCTGAAACAACTCGCCCGCAGCCCCCAGAGCTGAAGTGCACATTGTGGTAGGCCTCGCTGTGTGCTCCACGGGCCGTTTCTTTCTGCTGCTTCCTGCTCCCTCTTACAGGTCTGAGGAAGGTTTGGTGCAGGGGAGGCAGATGAGAGTACCCATGCCAATGTCCTAATCTGTGAAGAACTGTTCCCACTGAAAACTGACTGACCTTTTAAATACAGGGGAAATGAAAAGACTTTGAAGGACCCACAGCCAAAACAGCCAAAGGGAGGCTCGTGGCCCCTGGTTGGTGCACAGCTGGATGTAGGGGGCCCAACATTGCTCCCCAACTAGAGTTCTAGTCCTAATCCCAGAAGGTGCGGACTCACTTTTATAAGGGCTGACAAAGGGCAGAGGAAGAGGGGCTCTGGCCTGGTGTGGGGGCAGGTGACAGGAGGAGCCCAAAGCCCAGCCTCCCAGACATCCCCTGTGAACCCAAAGAGGGAGGGACCCTCATGGCACCTGTGAAAGCAACACAACAGGCCGAGCTTGGGGTCCTGACTCCCCAGGACTCATATCCAGCCTGGGCTGATTTTTCTGCCTGCAGAGGGCCCAGGGGGACAGACGAGGGAGGCACCCACTTGCCTGGTCCACCACGGAGGTGAGGGCCGCATCGATGTTTGTTTGGCCCCTCTTCATCGCCCTGACGTGATGGTATGACCCATTCTGGGAAGTAGAGAGCACCTCAAAGAACTCAACCGGGAGCACAGTTTCAATGCGGATGCTCTGAAAGGTGAGGCAGGATGAGTGAGAGGGGCTTCTCAGACAAGCCAGGAAAGTCAGAAGCAATGTGACCTGAAAACAGCAGTCAGACCAGGCCAAGGTGCCCTCGAGGCCCACAGGCCCCCGACAGCCAGCATCAGATGGGCTGCACAAAGCCCTGGAACTGAGCTCTGACCGCTCCGGCCTTTGACTCCCCCCAGGCTGCCCTCCCTGAGTAACCCGAAGACCTGATGCTCCGCTGTAGTTGCCCATGTGGGGCCCATAGCAGCTCAAAGCCGACTGCTGGCTTTCTTAGGCCCTGAGCTCCCACAAGGCAACCACCAAACACAATAAAGACACCAAAATCCCTTACAGCTAATTTCCAAAAAAAGGTGACTGACTTACTAACATGAGGGAGGCAGTGGCTTCTGCAAAGAAGCCGACCTCAGGCACCACCAAGCAGGTCCCAGGTGAGGATGCTGGGGATTTCTCTCAAAGGACCAATACACTGCCTAGACTTCTCTCTACCTGCCCTTCTGTCTAACGCTCCTTTCTAGAGCCCGAAAGCTAACAGAGGCTCGCCTGACATGCAGGACTTCTCAGCAGTTACAGAGTCTCTGGCCCTGCAGGGAGAAGGTGAGGAAGCGCTCCCTGATCCTTCGCAAGGCAGGAAAGGCTGGATTCTCAGTGCTGATGTAAAGGGTGCTGGAGGGCAGCTGGCAGATGCCACTGCCCCATCACTGCCTCCTGGAACCTTGCTGCCTACACCTCCTCTCCCGACCCCAGCCCTGCAGGGGGTGGGGCTATGGTATGCAGACACATAGGTTTACAGGGTCTTGAGATGACCCAGGGATCCCACAACGGTGCTTCCTGTGGACCCAGCAGCACCACTAGGAAGTTACTAAAGTCAGCCTGCCGCAGGGGGACCCCTCTTCCTTTGGGGGCAGCTCACTGAGCAGCTGCTCCAGGAGACACATCCCACGTTGCCACCCCACCAGGACTTGAGGCAGGCACTCACGTCTGATGGGTAGACCTTGTTACCGAACTTGTCCAGCACTTCAATGGTAATTTCGTACAGTCGGCCAGTCTCGAGCACCCATCTGTCACCAGGGTAGACTGTGAACCCTATAAAATAGGCAATGGCAGCACGTGACGACTCAGGCCACAGGAGGCATGCAGCTGAGGAACAGGATGGGACCAAGCACCATCAGCACCAGAGCCCCACACTGCTTACCTGGAGGTCCCACAACCACCTACCTGGATGGGTCCAGATCACTTACCCGAAGAGACAAAACTATTCAACTGAAAGATACCTATAACCACTCACCGGGAGGACCCACAACTGCTTACCTGGAGGGCTCCAAAACCACTTACCTGGAAGGGCCAAGGCCATTCAACTGGAGAGACCTATAGCAGTGGGAGCCAACAACTTACCTAGATAGCCCACAACTGCTCACCTGTACCCCTCCATGGAAAAGGACCAACTGTTAACAACTGTGAGATCTAATACCAGCCATCAGACACAAGCCCTCAAAACCTGAGCTGATCTCTAAGACTCCTTAGGACCAAACCTGAACAATTCCAAGTTGACTGTTCAAGGCTCATTCAAACTTGATCCTGTCTACAGTAGATCTAGCTCCCAATCCACACTGGTATATACTCTGAATACACAGTAGGTCTGCTCTGAATCCACAAAGGATCTATGCTCTGAATCCACAGTAAATCTACACTCTGAATAGAGTATGTCTACACTCTGAATCCATAGTAAGGCTACACTCTGAATACATAGGTCTATGCTGTAATCTACAGTGAGGCTACGCTCTGAATCCACAGTGAATGTAAGCTCTGAATACACAGTAGGTCTACACTATACAGAGTGAGTCTATGCTCTAAACCCATAGGTCTATTCTTTGAATCCAAGAGAGACTATACTCTGTATCCACAGTGAGGCTATGCTGTGAATCCACAGTGAAACTACCGTCTAAATCCACAGAAGGTCTACACTCTGATTCCATAGTGGGTCTATGCTCTGAATCCATAATGGTCTATGCTCTGATTCCACAGAAGGTTTACACTCTGAATCCTCAGTAATTCTATGCTCCGATTCCACAGAAGGTTTATGCTCTGATTCCACAGTGGGTCTACACTCTTAATCCATAGTGATTCTATGCTGATTCCACAGTGATTCTATGCTCTGAATCCACAGTGATTCTACACTCTGATTCCACAGTGGATCTACGCTCTGAATCCACAGAAAGTCTAAGCTCTGATTCCATAGTGGGTCTACGCTCTGAATCCACAGAAGGTCTAAGCTCGGAATCCACAGTGGGTCTAAGCTCTGATTCCACAGAAGGTCAAGGCTCTGATTCCACAGAAGGTCTGCGCTCTGTTTCCACAGTGGGTCTAGGCTCTGAATCCACAGAAGGTCTAAGCTCTGAATCCACAGAAGGTCAAAGCTCTGAATCCATAATGGTCTATGTTCAGATTCCACAGAGTCTACGCTCTAATGCACTGAAGGTCTATGTTCTGTGGTTCCACACCTCTGAATACACAGTGCGTCTACACCCTGAAACTACAGGGAGGCTATGCTCTAAATCCACATTGTGTCTACATTCTGAATGCACAGGTTTACGTGTGAGGCCTGACAATGTGAGCTGGCACTGCTTCCAGGCCTCTTGTGTTCCCACTGTGGATGCCACACCAGCTGCTCGCTGACCCGTGATGCGATGTGCTTTCTCACCTCCATACCACTGCCCAAGTTGTTCCCTCTGCCATGGTGACCTACCCACAACAGAGCAGCTTCCTGGAAACCTGCTTCAATTACCATCTCCCTGAAGTCTTTCTCTGCACTTACATTTATTAGCCCCTTCCCACTGTCTTGTCACTGCCCATTGCACTGGTCTCTCCCCAAAAAACCAAGCACAAGGACTCCCTCTTCCTTCCGCCGAATTCCAGTGCCCAGCACAGACCAGGCAGATGGAAGGTACTAAGGAAACAGTTCTGAGTAAATGGAGTTCCTAGGACACACAGGGCCATCCTCCCTGGTCTCACTGTATTGTCCACTTGGGTCTGCACCAACTAGCAATCTTACATGACAGCAAACAAGGGGAGCTTGGGATTTGCTGCACATCAAACTCTCTCTTGCCTGAACCACTTCAGTGGATTCAATAGGTGAGTAAGCTCAGACCAAGAGAAGCTTTGCGTCGGACTCAGGGTGTGTCCTGGACAGCTTTCAAGTTGTCATTGGTAGGGCAGCCCCCAGGCCCTGACTGTGCCTCTCCATTCCTCCAGGGCTGGGGATTCCTCCCCTCCTCTCTCAGAGAAATGCCACCCTTCTTCCCCAGGAGAACATACCAACTGTCACATCACTCTAGGGGGCCCTCTGGGCTGGCCCCCAACCTCCAAACATTTGTAGCCATGGTCGGGTCTGGACAGAGCCCTGGTATAAAACCAGCAGGAGACAAAGCCCGTCTCCACTCACTCTACCCTATCCCGTTTCTCCTCCTGCTGACCAGCAGGAGACTAAGCCCATCCCCACTCTACCCTGTCCCCACTCTACCCTATCCCGTTTCTCTCCCTGCAGAGCCAGCCACCTGCCTAACCCTATCTACCCTCCACTTGTTTCTGGGCTCCGACAGGGGAAGAACTGGGAAGCAGCCCTGGCCTCCCAGCTGGCGGAACTGGCCAGAAAGAAGTATTTTGTGGGGAGCTGTTAGTCTTATTTTATTTTTCTAACTCGTGTAATCACAAACAAGCAGCATCCAGGACCCAGGATACCCACACTCACCCAGGTATCCGGGTTCCACCACATAGATGGTGCTGTTGGGTAACCTGGAAGCACCCTGCATACGGATACCTGAACTCTTAATTAAGGAACAAAATACAGGGCCACAAATAAACTAGCTGCCAGGCTCTGGCATGGCTCAGATGGCTTGTCATCAGACATCACATGGTCAGAAGAGAAGAGGAAAACCCCTGCTGGATGCCAAGAACAGCAGAGCCATTTCCAGAATCAGAGCCACACTGTGCTTCCAACACTAGCAAAGGGGGATCCCTGCAAGGGACAATGGAGACCACACAGGGCATACCAGCAAGTCTGGGACAAGGATGACCCCCACGCCTGTTTGGAAGGGGCCTCAGCCAGGTCCCTTGGGTGGGACGGCAGGCATTGGGGAAATATACAGAGGCCCATGCCCACCTCCCATCCCGGGAGCCTCTCCGCTGAGTCACCCAGAGGTGAGTGACGCCACTCAGCCATCCTGCAATTTCGGTTCTCTCTGATTTTCAGGCCTCGAGGGAAAACAGGGCTATTTTTAGCCTCGTCCAGCTTCCAGGGAGAAAACTGACTTGACTTCCAGATAGCAGATCTTCTGCACATGGGACATGCATATGGGCATGTACAATGGCCTGAAAAAGGATATTCTTGTGGCCGAGGACCAGGTTGCTCTGTCCCAGCTGCACTGCAGTTACCGTCGAGGTGTCCTGCTCCAAGACAGCCACAGGCTGGCCTGGGTCTCCCCCAGGACCCTGGATGTTGTTCTGAAGCTGCAACTCATACTGATCCGAAGGCATTGCGAGTTCTAGCCACCCAAAAACAAAAGAACAAGGTGATGGAGAGAGAGAAAAGACAGAAGAGAGAGAAAACAGGGAATGTTAGGAGCCGGTGCCAGTATGTCACCTGCACCCTGAATCCCTGCTGCAGCACAACTGCATGATTTTTTACTTTTCTTTTTTGTTGAAGTTTTTTCAACATTTAAATTTTAACATTCTTGACTTCTGCTAAGATAGCAGAATAGACAGATGCTGTGCCAAATGCCTCCCAGGGTCACATCAAAATTACAAATAATTTATACAACATTCAACCTTGGAAGTCCCCTGAACACTAGATGAACAGAACCTCTAAATGAAGGACTTAAAAGGCAGGCCATGTTGAGTCTGGTAGAAGGGGCAGAGATGACAGAGGGCAAACCCCGTGAGGGACACCTCAGCGGAGGGGAGGGTTCTCCGGTTGGGGGAGAGTCCCTCCGGCCCCACACCGCGCTCACCACCCCAGAGTTACTTTGCTGGGAAGAGGAGTTCTATGATAGCTGGAAGTAGAAAATAGTGAGGACTCTCTTTGCTCAACTCGGTGAGGCTGAGGGCAGCTGGAGAACCAGTGGAGCCGGCCAACCGACTCGCTCCCTGGTGAGCACTCACCCGGTCCCTGGTGGAGGGAGTGGCTTTGTGAGCGGGGCCCAGGCACTGCGGGAAGGATGAACTGAGTGCCTTTGGCGCAGGAGCTGGAGGTTTTTGGGACCATTGTTCCCCTGGTGTGGAGCTTGCACACGAGTAGTGCACAGGAGGGCACCATTTTTTCAAGGCTGGGCCCTCCCACAGAGTCTCAGGTCTGGGACCATATTGGTCTGCTGGAATTGGCGCAGGAGTGCGTGTGTGCGTGAGTCCGTGCGTGCGCACACATGCGGCCTTGGCCCCCACCCTCTGCACTGCTTGTGCTGCGTAGCCTGGGAAACACCTGGCAGGCGTGCTCCAACTCCAACAGACTGCTTATTGAGACCCGGGAGTGCGTGACTCGCCTTAGGTACCGGATTTCCGCACTGCCTGTGCAGAGTTGCCTGGGTGACGATTGGCTGTTGGGCTGCTCAGCCTGATCTGCGAGCGGCTGATTGGGACGGGCTGAGACTGGGTGTTTTCCTGGGAGTGTAGGGCTGCGAACTGTGCACCTGCCTGATTCAGCCAGGGCTTTCCTGGCAAGTTTGTGTGAGCTATCTGCCGATGCAGGAGTGCATGCTGCTCTGACTTGGTGGGGGCCACTGACCACATCCTGTAGTGCCTTGGGGGCCTGCCCCACCCACTTAGAGCTGTGTTGCCAGGGGCACCCTGAGCCCCTGTTCCCTGGCCCCTACCTCCGCAGGCCACAGAGGGTTTTTTGCAGCAGCAGACAGCCCGTAACAACCTGTGAGGATTTTTGGTGGTGAGCACGGTTCCAGAGCACACAGAAACTAATTGTGGGAATCTCACTTCAAGTCTAGAGGGAGGTTCGCGCATGATGCACTGAGCCCTTCCCCCCAACAGCTGGTGCTGAGTCGCCCAGAGTCTCTCTACTGCTGAACAAGTGGTCTGCAGTACAGATTAAAGCGGGCGGAGAGCCCCTCCCTTTCTTTTTTCTTCTTTTTTTTTCTCTTTTTCTCTTTGTTCTTTTTCTCTTTTTTTTTTCTTTCTAGGTGATCTAATACATGAAAGCAATCAGAGTGACAGCCAGAATGAAGAAACAAAGAAACATTTCCCAAGTAAAAGATCAGAAGAAACCTCAAGAGATGGAACTAAATGAAACAGAGGTATTCAACCTTTCAGAGACAGAGTTTAGAACACTGATGATAAGAATGTTTAAGGAACTTAGGGAGGACATAAAGAAGGATACAGAAATCATAAAAAACAACCCAGTTAGAACTAAAGAATACAACAACTGAAATGAAGAACACACTCGAAGGAATCACCAGTAGATTAGATGAAGCAGAGGATCAGATCAGTGATTTAGAAGACAAAATAGCAGATATCACCCACCTGGAATAACAAAAAGAAAAAAGAATAAAAAACAATGAAAATAGTTTAAGAGACCTGTGGGACAACATCAAGCGCAACAACATTCACTTCATAGGAATACCAGAAGGAGAAGAGAAGAAGCAAGGGATCGAGAATGTATTTGAAGAAATAATGACTGAGAACTTCCCTACCCTGGTGAAGGAAATCGACATACAAGCCCAGGAAGTGCTGAATCCAAACAGGTCACACCAAGACACATCATAGTAAAAATGGCAAAGGTTAAAGACAAAGTCAGAATCTTAAAAGCAGCAAGAGAAAGACAGCAGGTTACACACAAAGGAACTCCTATAAGACTAACAGCTGAATTTTCTACAGAAACTCTGTAGACCAGAAGGGAGTGGCAGGTCACATTTAAAAACAAAGGCCTAGAACCAAGATTACTCTACCCAGCAAGGCTATCACTTAAAATTGAAGGAGAGAGAAATAGCTTCTCAGAAAAGAATAAGCTTAAGGAATTCAATACCACCAAGCTAGCATTGCAGGAAATGTTAAAAGGGCTTTTTTAAACAGAAGAAAGGGGAAAACAAGCTAATCCAGGAAGATCAGAAATACAAATAACAAAACGGCAATAAATATGCACCTATCAATAATCACTTTAAATGCGAATGGATTAAATGCTCCAATCAAAAGATGTAGCGTGGCTGAGTGGATAAGAAAACAGGAACCATGCATATGCTGTTTACAAGAGACTCATCTAAGATCAAAAGACACTCACAGACTGAAAGTAAAGGGATGGAATAAGATATTTCACGCAAATGGAAACGAGAAAAAAGCGGGAGTAGCAATATTTATTTCGGACAAAATAGACTTATTAAGATGAAGGCTACAATAAAAGACAAAGAAGGACACTACATAATAATAAAAGTATCGATTCAACAAGAGGACATAACCCTAGTAAACATCTATGCACCCAACATAGGAGCTCCTAAATATATAAAACAGATTTTGACAGACGTAAAAACAGAGATCAACAGCAACACTATCATAGTAGAGGACTTCAACACCCTATTGTCACCAATGGACAGATCCTCCAGACAGAATTTCAACACAGAAACAGTGGCCTTAAATGACCCTTTAGACCAGCTGGATCTTTTGATCTGCATGGGTCCTGTTTTCTTTTCCACTCAGCCACTCTATGTCTTTTTTTTTTTAATTATTATTTTTTATAGTGCAATACACATTTTTTAGAATTAGTTTCAGCTGTACAACACAGTGCAATAGTTATACTTTTTACCCCTCGAGGTGACAACCCCCCTCCCCCAATCTGCTGCCCACTTCCCCCCCAATATCATACATATCTATTACAATTCCCTTGACTCCACTCCCATACTATACTCCATGTCCCATGACCATATAACAACATTATTAATTATATTCCTTGAACTGTCTTTCATGTCCCTGTGGCAATATTGAAGTTACCAATTTATGCTGTCTAATCCCTTCCCCTTCTCCCTCATCCCCACCCCCTCCCATCTAGCAACCAACAGTTTTTCCTCTATATAGCTGAGACTATTTCTGTTTACTCTGCTCGTTCATTCAGTTTTTTAGATTCCACATATAAGTGAGATCATATGGTATTTGTCTTTCTCTGACTGACTTATTTCACTTAACATAATAGTC